ACGACTAGGACAAGCCAAGTTGGTAAATACATGCATTCTGTTTACACAGATTCTGATGTTATGTGATACTTAACATATACAGTGTTTATATTTTCTTTACATTGGTAAGACTCTAGTGAATAGATGAGAATTCCCACACAGTGCAATAATTGAATCTCTTGTAAGTAGGAGGTACCAGGGAGCTTGTTAATGTTCTTCTCTGTGCTTTTTTTTTTATCGTACCATGAGATTCAATCATTATTTTTTATACTAATGTTCACACAATATAAGACCCAAGAGCCACTCAAGGTAGAGGGTTACTGCGTAGTGTTGTAAGAAACGGCAAGAAGTAAACTTCACGGAACTATGCTGCAAAGATAACTGGCTTGAAGAATTCAAAATTGTAGTGATTGGGAAAGCATCCTGCCGGGAGTCTGTTCCACAAAGTATCAGTTCTTGGCAAGAAGCTGTCCGAGTGGAACTTGCTTCTTATTTATTAGACACCAAACTAAAATAAGTATCAACACTAAGGCCGAAGAGAAATATTTTTCGCTAAGATTTCACTTCGAGAAATTTTTCAGAAATTATGGACAACTAAGATATTTTTTAATCGGGAATATAAACATCCTATAAACATCCTACAAACATCCTATAAACATATATACTGCGATTTAAAACCATAGATTACATTCTTGTTTTTTTTTCGGAAAACTAAAACAGATTGATAAATGGTCTGTCTAATGGAATGTCATATATAGATACCTCCAAAAATTCATACATGATGGAAAGATGTCCAAAATTCAATAAGAACAACATTTTATTGTCAAAACCTTTGCAATATTATTAAGAGGAAATACCAAATGGACATTTTATGTACAATTTTTAAAAAATCCTTTTTAGAACCTTCGAAATTTTGGTTAAAATTCTTGATTTTCTGGCATCAAATGGGACCACAAATTTGTCTGGGCATTTTGATGAAAACATTGATTTAGAAATTCTTGCAAAAATCAGATAATTGTCAGATTTTAATGTAACTTTCTGAACTTATTCACGAATGAATGTAATTATTTTAAATGTTTCTTTTTTAGAAAATATTGGTAAAAAATATTTTTACACCAGTTGAGGTAACAGATGTAAAAATATTTTTTACCACTATTTTCTAAAAAAGAAATATTTAAAAATAATTACACACACTTATTTTATTTCATGAAATTTAAAGAAATTCTTTTTGTAGCGCTTAATGTTTATATTAATTGTAACGAAAATTTCTCGGAGAATTTAAATCATCAATTTTTTTTTCTTTTTTAGTCAAACCGGGCTTCCAGTTAAAAACAACTTGCTCTGAATAGTAAAGTGAAAAATGCAATAAAACTATGAAATTATTAGATAAGCTTTTAATTCCTTTCATGAATAAAATACATTACAGACATTATTGTCTCATGAAAAACTACTTTTTCGATGAATAATGGATTTTTACAAAAACTGTTTTCATTTTTTTTTAATTATAATTACAATAATTCATAATTTAAAAAAAAATCTGTATTAATTTGTAGCAGTTAAATGATATTGTTATTAAATAAAACTGTTTTTACTAATCATAAGTGGAAACGCTTACTATAATTCAGTAACCACAGTATTTAAAAAAAAAATTGAAATTTTTTTTTTACCGATTTCTATAAATACGGAATTATCATAAAATAAGCGCGGTAACAATAGTAAATTTAAAATTAATTGGTAATTTTCTAACATTTCCTCATCAAGCGTCTTACTAAGTAAAGCAATAAAACTAAGTACCTAAAATTCAATAAAATAGTAGAATGCTTAAAATATTTAAAGTTTTTATGATTACTGGGTAGTTAAAAAAATATATATATAAAAATGCGTTTACGTTGTATTCGTCATGTAAATTTATTACAATTATCTCCTTATAAAAATTACCCAAAGATCAGGCTGCTGATAAATGTGTCAAATCTCATAAAACACCTACCTCCAAGTTACAAAATACTTTTCTGTAATATTTTAAACTAAAATATTTGTTTCAATTTGAACAGTTTGTAAATAATTAAATTTTTATGTCATGGAGTTTTTTGTAGGTACCCTGAGAATTTGTGGCATTGTGGTATATGCAGTATTGGATGTTGACGGATGAGTTGTTTGTGGTGAATGAGCAAATTGTAAAGAATGCATGGGTGTGATTAGCTATATCTAGGAGATAAAGTGCTGACCAGCCTTACCCCCACTTCCCTATTGGCCTTGTGTCGCAATTGTTTCAATTCAAGCAATAAATAACTATTATGCAGAATACGTGCCCTTTTTTCTCGGTAAGTAACTTTCTTTTTCGTCACATTTTCCGTCGTAGAAACCACGCCAGACGTTGTCGTTTGGTTTGACGAGGTAATTCGCCGTTTTCTTCGCTACACAAATCAAATTAATAATAACCACAAATATTTAATAATATGTCCAAAATATGATAAAATTAAGACAGAAAGAAAAATAACCGGGTAGAGTCAGCGACTCGGACTTGTTAGTATGTTAAGCTATTAAATCCTCAAAAATTTTTTCAAAAAAATACCTAGCTAATTATATTCCGAGAGGAAAATCTCTAATTAAAAATAATAATTAATTAGTAAAATTGTTTTGTTAAATTAATTTCATATTTGCCGTTGTCTTGCCGTGTATACCAACAGGGCCGTTGCGTACTAACCCGAAGTCCCAAATCGGGGCGGACAAGCCTGATTAGGGTCTCCGGGCAGTACTTTGTGACCTCAGCTATCTTATCAACATTTTTTTTGTTATGTTTATATACGTAACAAATTTAAACTAAACACAACTGACTATTAAAGGGTGAAAAATCTTCGCGGATTTTGATGTCATTCTGGGGTCATTTTTTTTCTTTTCGTCCAAATCCGTGAATTTGTTTCGCTCAAGCTAAGTCTCGAAAAACTTGCGTTGCAGCAGTTTTCCATGTTAGAAGAATCTGTAAGCTTTGAAAATCGGCTTCCGAAATATATATATATATTTTTTAGCTACAATTTGGCGTTCTCCACAAACTATTGAAAAATATGGAACAATCAAAGACACGGGTTTAATTAATTTGTTTTTATGCAGGTACATCAGTAAGTCAGTAGACCAATATTGATGTAGCTAAGTCAGTAAATTCGTAACCCGATTTCTGTGTAGGTATGTCAATAAATCCGTAGCCCGATTTCTATGTAGGTATGTCAATAAATCCTTAGCCCAATTTATATGGATTATATCAATAAATCCATAGCCTGATTTCTCTGTGTGTATAGCATTAAATCCGCAGCCCGATTTCTATGTAGGTATGTCAATAAATCCGTAGCCCGATTACTATGCAGGTACATCAGTAAGTCAGTAGACCAATATCGATGTAGCTATGTCAGTAAATTCGTAGCACGATTTCTATGTATGTATATCAAAAAATCCATACACCTATTTCTATATAGATATATCATTAAAACCATAGCCCGATTTCTATGCAGGTACATCACTAAATCCGCAACCTAGTAAGGAAAAAACTTTCATTTTACGTAACAAATGTTTTTAAAAATAGAAATATTTTCAGGGAACTCAGAGATTAAAATTTGGTCGAACATTACACCGTGACATTTTCAGATTAAAATTCAACTGAAAATTGTGTTAAGTGTCGGATTTACTGATCAAAAATTGCATATCTGTGTTTCGTTTTTGCATGTATATACTAATAGACATTAGTAAGAATGGTCGAAGAATTTAGTTGCGAAAATTCTGGAAATGTTTTGTGGTCGTATGAAACAAGAGAAAGGATTGTAACTACTTGGGAAAAGTTTTGTTTGGTGGAATTCAAAGAGAATTCCAGATCAAGATTTGAACTAACTACTGTTGCGAATCGTCGATCAATTGGCTCGTTTGAATGGTACACTGGAAGAAAAATAAATATGTCAACGTTCGTCATCTTGTTAGAAAGATGACTCAGCAAACAATGATGCCGCTGGAATGAAAAGTAATTCTTGTTATAGACAAGCGTATGGGTGCAAGAAAGAAATACGACAACAGCAGAAATAGATTTACGTGATTTATTTCAACAGGAACGTGTGGGTTTGGGACAGCTACCTTGTGGTAGAGTTCATAAGCCGGCTCCCGATCTGGGTTGATCTCTCATAGTAGTTCTCACTGGTTGGCGTGGCGCTCCTCCTGCTGACTGCCCAGACTGACCGTGACAGATCTCTTCCCTGGCCTCCTGTTGACTGCCAGTACTTCCCCGTATGACCCCTTTTATGGCTCGAAAAACGACGCGAGTATAATTAGGGGGGGGAAGAATTTTTATTGGTCGAAAAATAGAAACACTTTAAAATATTATTTTATTTTTCGAACGGAACTCGTGCGTCGGGCCTATGCGTAAACGACGATAATAGTCATTTGTGACGGGGCCATGTCCTGTTCACATCTGGCTCTCGCTTTGAGTATGTTAGTTTATTTGCCTGCAAATCAGCTGAGATATGTCTTATTTTATTTTATAACATTCTGCATGCATCGTATTTTACAGATCTGTTGGCTTTCGAACGATCATTTGTATATCTTCATGTAACTTTCCATATCTGGTTGGAGGCTGAAAATATTGATGTGCTAAAAATTTATGTGACTAAATTATTTCGTCAAGAAGAAATGCTGGCAATTTTTGCATCAGTATAATAGCAGCTTACATGCATGTCAATATGTGTTTATGCAACCAAATATTTTAGAATTTCGTTAACTTGCAAAAATTGCACAAAGCTTCTCGTGTCTACAAGCTGAAATAGGGATAATGGTTTTCTTAAGATAACCTTTTGGCAAGAAAGGTGCATTGGACACATTCATCTGACTGTCATCTATTTCCTGTTTCGGTTGAGTATTACACACGCAAACACACAAACACACACACACATACACACACACACACATACATATATATATATATATATATATATATATATATATATATATATATATATATATATATCAAGTTGATATATCAGTGGGAGATGAAAGCAACAGTTGTCGGTCGAAAAAAGAACCCTGCGTTTGACATCAACGAACAAACAAAAGAAGTTATTAAAGTTTCAAGGAAACGTTTTCTGCTAGGTAAGTGATGCTCAATTTCAATGCATTTATCTTCGCTCTTAGCAAACACCGTTCCTTCTCACACATACACACGTCACTTGGCTTCAGACAAGTTATACCTGAGAATAAGATTGTTTTTATGCTTTCAAATTGAATTTGAAGGCCTCTCTTTCTTTTTCTTTTGGCCTTCATCTCTATCTCTATCCCTTTTTCTCGTTTTGCTGTTGTTACTATTGGGCTTTAAGCCATTAACAGCGCGTTCGATCCTCTCCGGGGAACGTCTTGTGTGGATATTTTCAGCGTGTGTGTGCGCGCGCGTGTGTGTATTCGTTTAACACAAATCCCAAAATATGGGTCACTCAGTCAGGATTGAACTCATTCAAGCTTGATGACCATTAACACAGGGCAAGACTCCACAAGGCAGTCGAAAGAGAACAGAATAAATGTGATCGATTAAAAAAAAATTAAAAATTAAACTAAAAGAAAAAATTGAAATTTTAAAAATACTAAATTAGATAATTAAATGTTTTAAAAAGAGTTTAAAACAATTGAAATCTGTCTATAGCAATGATTGCTAAAGTGGGGCGCATGCCCCACTAGTGGGGCATGGTAATATTGTGGTGGGACATGCGTAGGGTGTGCACCCTTCGGCTTACTATACCAACAAAATAAAAAAGAGATAATTCGAGAATGATTTATTAACAGTGAATTGTTTTCTAGTTAACTCAAATTTCATTTTACATTATTATTTCACGATTAAAATGATCAAAGTATATTACAGAATAAAGTTTCATTCAAATATTTTATATTTCTGCCTTTCAGTTCTCTGTTATATGTTTTGAAACTATATATAACTCAAACTGTCTTTTTGTTTTTTTAATATTTCTTTCATGGACGCCATGGTCTTCGGAGGTTTGTTTATAGACCAAGTTAATAGCCTTTTCAGCTTCCTTCACGTGAATTGTAGTAAAACTTTGAATATGTAAGAATTATTACATGTGGCACTAGAATTTCAGAATACCAAAGTGGGGTATGGCTCAAAATGTGTTGGGAACCACTGGTCCATAGGATCCAAGTAAAATACTTCCGTTTCGCTAAATCGATTCCAATTTTTAATCTACCATAAATAAAAGGAACTTCTTTCCTCTTTATTTCTTCTATATGAATTATGTCAGTGCCACCAAAATGGATGCAGTTTGCCCGAAACAAAAACAAAAAAAAAACGCTACCTCTTGTTTATATAAATTTACCAAAATCAGGGAAATATCCGATTTAAATTAAATTTTCAGCACTATTTTTACAACGATGTTTACCATGTACAAGTCACAAGAGCCACTCGAGGTAGAGGATTATATATAAAGACAGAGGCAAAGTTTATGGGGACATGGGGGGAAGATATTGTAGTGATCGGGGAAGTATCCACTTGAGAATCGCTTCCATAAGTGGTTTATGGGAATAAGCTCCTTCAGTGGAACTTACATCCAGAGCTGGGGCTAGGTTCTCCAAACCACTTTTCAAAACCCCTCCACCCACACCGAAACTCTTTGATACGGGCCCACCTCTCTACATGTGGATTTCAAAGTTTCCAACATAGGGGCCACAAACTCTCGAAGGAAAATGGGGGGGGCGTTGTTTTTTTTTTAAATTACCAAAAATCATGAAATTCCCCAATTTAAATTTCAGTACATATTCATTAATTATTTACTTTTATAATGAATAGTTTTTTTTTATTTAAAAAAAAAAGTTATTCTTTTTGTAATAACCACCTATATTTTCATGACAAAATTTTACTCGAAAAAATGTTAAAGTCGCAAATTATTACATTTCCATAGATATTATTAATCATCGACGCTTCTCCGCTGAAAAAAAAAAAGAAAAAAAAATTTAAAAAGATTTCAACGCAACACAAACGGGATTTTCTTAAAAAAATTGTTTTAAAAACAATATTTCGGTTTTAGGGAAAATCTTTTTCATGCGTTGAAATCTTTAAACATTTTTGTTTTTAAAGCGATCATTTTCTCGGCTTTATCTTTCTAGAAATGCAAAAAATAGGGACTAGAAATTTTATTTTAATTACTAGCCGTGGACTTATGGACATTACTATTAAAAAACAAAAACAAAAAAATCAGAGATCCTCCTTTTGTGGATGATCTCGGAATAAAAAATGATTTTACTGAGATATATTATTAGCCTCTTAATTGATTTGAAAGAACTGTTCAAAAAGAAATTTACATTTAAAAAAAAAATAAAGACTTCTTCCCACCTCCTCAGTAGGTATGGGGCCCCACGCAGTTGAGAGGTTCGGGATAGTAAGCACCGGACCTATTGATTATTATACTTGATAATTGACAAACTTAAGGAGAAAGAAAAGTAAAAATTATAAAAAGCAAAAAACGATGTCATGTGTGGGGTCAAACCCCGTCGGGGGGGGGGGGTTCCTGCGTAGTATAGTTATTTTCTAAGTATAGATTAGATGCGGCACAAGGCCGAAAGTATGGGGCACCTAATGAGAATCGAACTCACTTATC